GTATAGAGGTATGGGGCAGCACATATAAAACCAACACTAAACCGTTGTCTGTCATACAAACGAAAGTTATGAGAATTTTATATAAAGTGGACACTAGAGAACACACAAATAAATTGTTTATTCAGTCAAATATCTTGAAACTACGGGATCTGGTTAATTTAAAAATGCTATTGGTTACGTTTAAAGCTAGAAAGAGATTATTGCCATTTAATGTACAATAGTTCTTTTTCTTAAGCTCATGTGATAGAAATAACAGAAGGAAGTATGATTTCAAAAGTAAAACTGTACGTACTAAATTAAACAAATGTTTCATTTCGGTACATGGAGTAAAATTGTGGAACAATTTGGACGAGGAGTTAAAAAAATGTTCTCCCATAAATCAATTCAAAACACTTTATAAGAATAGAATGATGAACTCTTATACACTTTTGAGTTGTTAATGGGAAAAGTGACGTGTTGTTTGCAACTTGTTTTGTTAATTTAATGTATACGACCATGAATGTTTTTGTAATTGAGAAAGGGGCAGGTCTATACAAGATTTAATTCTTCCTGCTCCCTCTTCACTCGTGTATAGTAAGTGTTGTCAGAGAGTGTGTTTGTATACTGATGATCAATTTGTTGAATCGAGCGAATAAATTGATTGATTAGTTTTCTGCTGACACTTAAAAGTTTTCCTTGTTCAAGTTTCTGTTAGTATATGCTCTAAAAACTCAACTTATCGTGAACAGCCAATAACGTTTACACCAACTTTTGCTGAATACCTTTCTGAAGGACTTAAAAAAAAAAAAAAAAAAAAATTCATTGTTATGACTAAGAGCTCTTATGTTTGGGCCTTGCTTCATTTGAATCAGCCAGCTGGAACAGCTCGTTATTTGTAAGCACTTAATTTTGAAAGCAGACCCATTTAGATGTTTAAATTAGAAATTCTAACGACAATATGATGTAATGTTCTGTCATTACTCAATTAAAAAATATATATATTTTAGTAGCATTATTTTAATATAATTTTAACAAAATTCTTGCAGGTGATTGGTCATGGGGGGCTATAATCTGCACCTCAATTGGATGGTCTGTTTCTGTCGGCTTCGGCTTGTTGTGCTGCATCTATGTGGCCACGCTCCACGAGAACGACCTGTGGTTCTCCAACATCAAGGTAAAGGCCTTAACAGTCAACATCTCAAGTGTTTTCCCTTGTTGCCACAGCGACACAGATCCGCTCTTCAGCTCCTGATTGCATTTCAACCTCATGTTTTGTTCCCTCACATTGTCTGAGCACTGGCAGGCTTTGATCAAAAACAGACACGCTGGAAGTGACTGTGTGGGTGTTGGAAGGCTTTCCGTGCTCTACAAGTACACAGAATTGCAGCACTCTTTACCACAACACACAAGGTTTTCTTGGTCACTTTCAGCTAGCAACCGATCAGGTGTTAGGAAGTAATTTGAAGTGTCATAATTGGTTGAACATATGGATTAACATCCTCCCACAGACCAAAAACATGCATGTTAGGCTGATTGGTAACTCTAAATTGTCCCTAGGTGTGTGAGAGACTAAATGGTTGTTTGTCTTGTTTGTCTCTATGTGGCCCTGTGATGGACTTGTGACCCATCCAGGGTGTACCCCGCCCGTCGCACAGTGATTGCTGGACATGGGCACCGGCGACCCCCGTGACCCAAAATGGAATAAGCGGGTAAAGATAATGGATGGATGGATGGATATGGATTAACAGTGGAATAGTACCTTCTGTTATGAACTTTGGTGTGGTGCACACTGCCTTGCCAGGACACATGTTCTTCTCTCCAATGGCTCCCTTTCGAATTCAGAGTAGAATTCAGAATCTTACTTCTAACCTACAAAGCTCCCAACAACCTAGCTCCATCTTATATTACAGTTCTTATTGTTCCACCTTTTCCTAACAGAGCACTTCACTGTCAGACTACAGGTTTACTTGCGGTTCCTAGAGTTTCCAAAAGCAGAATGGGAGGAAGATATTTCAGTTCTCAGGCTCCTCTCTTGTGGAACCAACTTCCAGTTTCTGTCCATAAGGCTGACACATTGCCCAGTTTTAAAACTGGGCTTAAGACGTTCCTTTGTGATGAATCCTATAGTTAGGCTTGGCTTGCCATAGGTTTAGACAATTGGAGGACAAATTGATCTAATTTTTAAAAAAACAAATAGTTACCAATGCATACATATGAATAGTTTACATTTGAAATTATGTCTATCTTAACATGTAATGTCCTCCTCATTCTCAACCTGCCATTGTGTATCTGTTCTTCCTTTCTGTTTCTCTTAAACCCTGCCGGTCGAAGCAGATGGCCGCTTGTCCTGAGTCTGATTCTGATGGAGGTTTTTTCCTCATGAGGGAGTTTTTCCTTTCCACTGTAGCCTTCTTGTTTGCTCAGAATGAGAGTCTGCGATGAAGTTAAACTCAAAGCAGTCTGCTCCTCAGATATACAGTACTGTATAATGTTATTAACTTTTATATATACCGGGATATAAATGTTTCTGTTGAGTGCCCTGAGATGACTTCTGTTGTGACTTGGCGCTATATAAATAAACTGAACTGAATTGAATGTTAGAACAGAAAGAGCTATTATTAAGGTTTTTTTTTTGTTTTCCTATTTCAACAAGATGGATGTGAAGCCACAGAAGAATCACACAAGATGACACAAAATAAATCACGACACTTCTCACCTTTTATATTTATATGTTTTTGGGGAAAGTAGGCTGATTATTTTCCCGGTATCAGATATGAACAGGGCAGCACCATACTTACTGGCATTTTCTTGTTGATGGCCAAAGCCGAACCTGTAAAGAACAGGGTTTGTCTTTGCTCAGGTCGCTTGACAACACAAACATAGTCAGTGGATTTTCTGCCAGTAATATGATCTGGTAATCTAGAAAACTTGTGGGCTCTTAGCATTTCATAAAATATTGTAAAATAATTCTCACCTATTTTCTGCTTGCCTCGAGATGCAACGTAAGTTATATTATTACATATTACCTCATACTTTGGTAGAGCTGAAATGGCTTCCAAAAACACATCATAAACACTCCATTAGGTGATGGGATAATAGATTTTCCATGCACTTTACAAGGCAGATTTTTAAACCTGTTGAATCAGCCACACACAGTCCTCGATCCTCAGGATTGGCACAGGGTGTCTCTCAGTCTCTGCTGTGCAGCAACAGCTCTGTGCAAAGCCAAATATGATGTCATATTTGAGTGGCCCTTTTAGAGCTTTAGGAGAACATTGGTTTGGCTGAGCATGAAGCAACAGAGGATGATTAGTTTCAAGCAGTATCAAAATAAGGACAAAATATAAATTAGACCTTTCGCTATGTATTTTGCTCTTTTAATATATTAACTGTCATTTCTTGTGTTGCAAACTGAAATAAGAAAGTTGTTTTTTGTTGAGGACAAACTGAATATTTAATGCATAGAAAAAATATCACTAAAACATGAAGTAACTGTAGTCATTAGGAAGTGAACAATGTGGTTTTATCTGCAGAATGCAGAAAGTACCTGTGTATTTCTTTCAAATTAGCATTGATGGCACTTTAGTGCTCTTATAACCTCATGTTTACCCATTTGGTTATTTTTAATTGAACATTGACTTTAAATTCATAAATATCCTAATTTAATTTGCATGAAGTAGTTCATTTTTATTAAACCTGATTAAGCTAATGCATATGCAAATGGACATTACAGAGGAAATGAGGCTGAAGACCTGACTTGTGATTTTTCTGGGTTTGTTACAAAGTTCATTACACAGTTTGGTGGGAGCTGTTTTCTCGCCATAAAAAAGCAGGAAATTCATAACAAATTTTGATGATTAAAATTATATGACCAGAGATATCTCAATGTATTGATTTGCATTTTTAAATATTCTCTTAGGTCGTTTTCACACCAGATAGTCCGGTAGACTCGGTTCGGGACCAATATTCATGACATTTTGTTTACATTTGAGCTGGTGCGTTTGCATTCACACTGCACTGTGCAGACAAGTCAACCTGTTGAACCAACCTGTTCCCCCGCTCGCCTGTGGGGGCGCTGCACCAAGAACTACTGAAAGAAACGACACAAAAACCTCTGAAGACACGTCTTCTTCTGTAAATAAAAATAAAAACGAAGTGGCATCAAGTTTTAGCAGTTTTAGGAGTTATATTTTGTCATTTTTCAAAAATGGACTTAGCATGAGCAGAAGATGAGACAGAATACCATGGAGAATATTGTTTTCCACACAAGGCAGCTGACGGCTCCATATAAGGTCAGAGAAATGCGTGTTTTTTTACCCTGCGGAGCGGGTCCCGGTCTGTTTACATTCACACTGTACTCGAACCGCGCTGGAGTTCGCTTCTACCGGACCGAGACCTAGGTTTTAGCCCGGGCCAGAGTTCGCCTTTTTGTTCCGTGACAGAGTTCAATGGCGCGTTCACACCTCCCTAAACGAGCCAGATTTCTAGGAAAACGAGCTAGAGTTTGATTAAAGCGGCCTAATCGGGGCTAGTGTGAATGCACTCTGAATCACATAAGATTTTCCCTAATGTATAGAAAAGAAAAGAAAGAAGCAAATCAATTTATATTCTTTGTACATAACATACTGTTTAATTGGTACTTCATCTGTTTCTCACACAAGCGTGAAATGGATTGTATTCAGATGAGTCATGCACAAGGTAAGTGTAAGGTTTTGTCAAAGGGAGACCAAATATATCCCATTTATCTAAAAAAGTTAAATCTGGTCCTCTGGACATTCAAAAAAAAACAAACAAACAACAAAGCAAATCAACAAAAATGTAGAAACGTTTCGTCTCTCATCCGAGAGACTTCCTCAGTCTGAGAAGCTGTATTCAGCTCAGTCTCTTAAATAGCACCGTCTCAGAGTGGATCAACCAGTTTTGCTGCTGACAACCAAAACCAGCTGATCACATGCTCAAGAAGGACCATCAGCCTAACAATGGATCATTAGCACACTGATGGCTGTTTACTGTTCACAGAG